AAAATTTAACATTTTAAATGAAAAACAAAAAATAAAGCTAAAAACAATTCAAAATATTAAAGAACAAAAGGTATAAGATATAAAGTCAGAATTGAGATTCAAACTCACAACTGCGAGAAAAATTCAGAACTGTGATAAAAAAAAGTCACGATTGCCTTTATGTTGTATTCCGTGGTGGGTAAAAAAAAAATTATAATTTAAAATTCTCAGAATTCTGAGGAAAAAAGTTCCGGAAAAAAACGCTAACTCAGAATTCTGAGGGGAAAAAAATGGTCAGAATTGTGAGATTTTTATCTTTTTTTTTTGCCATGGAATAAAATAATAATTATGATAATAATAACATTTAAAAAAATAAACATAATTGTGAGATGGAAACTCAAAACTGCGAGGAAAAAAGAGTTTATATCTCTGAATTGTAAGTTTATATCTCGCAATTCAGGTTTTTTTTCACCATGGACTTTTAAAGTCAGATTTGTGGAGTTACAAACTGAAACCTTAGAGAAAAAAATACAGAATTGTAAGATAACAAGCTTCCATAGAAACGCGAGTTATATAGCAAGTGAAATCTTCTCTGTGTCCCACCGATGAAAGAAAGTGATTCAAGTTTTTGTTTGACATGAGGGTGAGGGAATTTTTGGGTGAACTGTCCCTTTAAGTTTTTGTTGGAGAAACATTGATGTAATGAGGACGCAGGAGAAAGAGAGATATAAGAGACAATGTGTGCTCTTGAGGCAAGACGGTTTCCCGAGGAAGCAGAACTCAATGGAGATCTCGTCCGAGCCGGCCTCACCTCACTTCCTCGGGAGCGATGATTCATATCCTTATGGGCAGTCGTCTTCATTTATTCACTTATTTATTTTTGGAACGCAGTCAGTACCGAGGAAATCTTGCTGTTGGGAGTAGTTCATCAACTTGCAATCTGACCTATTTCATGGGGCCGTATGATTTTTAATGTTCCTGAAAGAAGTCTCTAATGCTCACCAATGCTGCTTTTACTTGATCAAAAATACAACAAAACAATGAAATATTATTCTAATGTAAAACAGCTGTTTTCTCTGTGAATATGTGTTAAGCTGTAATGTATTTCTGTGATGCGCAGCTGTATTTTCAGCATCATTCCTCCAGTCTTCAGTGTCACATGATCTTCAGAAATCAGTATAATATGCTGATCTGCTGCTCGAGAAACATTTCTGATTATTATCAATGTTGAACACAGTCGTGCTGCACAATATTTTTGTGGAAACTGTGATACATTCATTTTTTTCAGGCTTCACAGATGAACAGAAAGTTCAAAAGAACAGCATTTATTTGATATCATTTTTTGCTGATCTCTTTACTATCACTTTTGATCAGTTTAATGCTGAATACATTATTAATTATTTACTACTGTATTAATTTATAAATAAAAAAAAAATCATACTGACCACAAACTTTTGAACCATGGTGCACATATTATATAAAACTTGACTCAAAGCAGCTTTAAGCACTGAAATAAGAAATGAGTTCAGGAAAATGTAAATGTTCAAATGTAACAACCATAATTCAAATATATGGAATTATTCAATAGATTACGACTTACATTTCAGTCTGTTTATCATACAAAGCTATTGACTTAATATATTGTTTAAGTAATATAAATGGTGCTTTTATGGATCTTGACAGCCCCTGATCACGATATGGCGTTGTTGCGTGCGAGCAGCATTAACATTCTTCGAAACATCTCCTTTTGTGTTCTACTGAAGAAAGCGAGTTGTCCAGGTTTGAGTGAGTAAATGGAGTCAGGATTGTTGTCTCTGTGAACACCATTGTTCATTGAGATCTCACAAACTGTACTGCAAATCCTAGTTCAGTCATATTCCTAGATTGTTAAAAACAAGAACAGCTGCTTTAGATGTATTGTGGGGAATATATATATATATATAGGTTTCTTCTTTCTGCCGCGGAGGAGCTCAAACTCACTCAAATTCCTGCTGCACCTCATAATGGCTTCAGTACATGGTGCTCTCTATTTACTCACAGTCGTCACCGGCACATATTCCATCCACCAAACGATTAACTAATGCGTTTTTTCATCACTCTACGCACTTAGTCAAAAGAAAAAGCCTTTGACGTACTGTTGATTTGCTGCTGTTGAAGAGAGCGTTTTCTAATTACAGTAAACAGTAAAACCGATGGCATGAGCAGACCTGTAAAACATTTTCATAACCGTAAACCATTGTAAAGATGGTAAAATCTTGGCAGACAGCGATTTCCGCTTCCTCAGGTGCTTTAGACACTATTATTGGTAGGTGTTAATACATTGATGCCCCAAAAATGAATGTTTGTGAAAACATCAGTCTGCTTTCTGCACGGTATTTAGCCTAAACTCATTTCTTTATTAGTTTTAAAACTCCATAAAGTGGTTTGATCAACACAATTGCTTTCCTGTATTGATGTAAATATTCAATAGCCTTTTGCTTACAATACAGCTACATATATAAAAAAAATATGAGATGATGTTATCCGGTTAATTTTCCTGGAAGGGAAGGAATTCATATTTAAAAATTTACTCTTACGACTGTAGTCAGTTAGATTTAATGCATTTGAAAAAAGTCCCTCCTGCTCACCCAGGCTGCATTTATTTAATCATAAATGCAGTAAAGAAATGAAATATTATCACAATTTTAAATAGCTGTTTTCTCTGTGAATATGTGTTAAACTGTAATGTATTTCTGTGATGCGCAGCTGTATTTTCAGCATCATTCCTCCAGTCTTCAGTGTCACATGATCTTCAGAAATCAGTATAATATGCTGATCTGCTGCTCAACAAACATTTCTGATTATTATCAATGTTGAGAACAGTCGTGCCGCACAATATTTTTGTGGAAACTGTGATGCATTTTATTTTTACGGATTCACAGATGAACAGAAAGTTCAGAAGGACAGCATTTATTTGAAATAGAAATATTTTGGAACATTTGAAATGTCTTCCCTGTCACTTTTCACCAATTTAATGCATCTTTGATTAAAAAAAAGTATTAATTTATCAGCAACAACAACAAAAATGTTACTGACTAAATTATGATCAGTAGTGTAAGTATCTACAGGTTTATTTTGTTCACTTTTAGGACACTATCACATAGATTGCATCAACAATCATATATAAATGCCATAAAACTAGTGGATAATTAGACCAGAAAACGTCCAACAAAATACCTTTTTTCTAGTCCTTTCTAAAAGTTTTCTAATTCTATAATGAGTAAGCTTCTAGCCTTGGTTGTGCTTCCTAACGTTTTAAGAAATTGAGTTACGGCGTGCTACGGAAACAGCCGTGTCTGAGGACCGATACATAATATTTCATCAAAATCCACAGGGAACCAAACGATCCGCTCTCATTACCTCTGATATTTTGAATATGACTGTAAATGTGCTCTTGTGAATTAATGAGGCCTGCATTTAATCAAAATAGACTCTTGCGCTTACAAGCCCACGTTTGACTGTGATTTTAGACTCACTAATAGTATGCATACTTATATTTGTAATGTTTCAGACCTCGTTTTCTACCTCAGCCACTTCCTTGACCACCATCTATTGGTTCCAAAGCCTTCATAAATCAAATACAAACACATTTCTTAGCATTTTGGCCCATGCAAACCCTAACGTAGGGTGAAATTTCATCCCGCTTTCTTACAGATACTTTTATAATTCTTTAATTTGTGATATGATCTGTCCCGAATTGACAATTAAATGAAGCACTTGCTGATTTGCATATGATGCCATGTCCTCATTCGGGCCGGATGGGTTGTGGGTGTTTTTTAATATCCTAAAGTTCATGTTTGATGCTATCTGTGCTATTCCCAGCATCCTTTGACAGCGGACCAACTCCCACCCAACCCAAACCCTTCTCTTCTTTCATAAAAAATGTTTAAATGCACAAATCAAATCTCTTTTTGACCCCTTTATGGCCTGTAACGTGCATTACTCACAGCGTTGTTTCATTTAGATTTTTCTGAAATTGCCACGGCTCTGAACTCACACTGAGCCGCGTGATCCTAAATGATGAACAGCCCAAACACTGCCAAAACTATCAGCGCTAAATGAATGCCCAGAGCGAGAGAGAAACAGAGAGAGCTGTAATACAAGGCTGAATTTCTGCTAATAGCAGTGGATTACGGCAGCTCTTTTCTATTAAGAGCAGAAGGACAGGTTCAACTTGATGAACTTTCACCCTGACACGTGGAGTGCTTGATTTCCCTACAGTTGGACTAAAAGCATAAGCATCTGGAATAGTACAAGTCATTGAGTTCTTCTTCCTCTGTAACAGTCAACAGGATTTGATGTTACGACTTAAAGGAATAGTTCACCTGAAAATGAAAGTGTTGTGATCATCCTCAGGTCATCCAAGAGAAATGTGTCATTGCATCACTTGCTCAGCAGGGGATCCTCTGCAGTGAATGGGTGCCGTCGGATGTGAGAGCCAACAGGAGATGGACTTTTTCACTGGAGGAAGCATTATTATGGATTATTGACTCGAAAGCAATGGCTTAAAGTTAAAAATGTCTTAATAATGGATGTTTTTATCAGCTGTTTGGACTCTCTGACGGCACCCATTCACTGCAGAGCATCCATTGCTGAGACACTGATGCAATGACACATTTCTATAAATTGTCCAGTGTCTGCAGTGTTTCTCTCCAGAAGTTATGACCAATAAAAAAAATGTCTTTGTATATGTTTAAACCAGATTTACTGCATTTATCTAATCCTCTTTCACAAGCTATCATCAACAAGCGTCTATTCTTGTTGTCATCTCCAGTAGGTTTGTTGTTGTTCTGGTTTTTACGTTTCTTTTTAAACTGTGAAACAACAAGCCAGGCCAGTGTTGCCTGTGGACCAGCTAATTAGTTCCAGACACATACGTATTCTATGCTGATCGAGTATTGTATACTTCAAACTTTATTTTAGGCATGGATGTGTTGCAGATTGTATGCACAATGTTTGTATTAATTATTTTCTTTCAACAGGTCACACGGGGCGCTTGCTGAAATCCCTGTGCTTCACCAGTATGACGTTCCTGCTGCTGCACATCATCTACCAAATCACAATCAACAGTCTGTTAGCAGGAGACAACATCAAGCCTAACTTCAACTGTGAGTACGAACTAGATCTAGATCTCCGCTGCAGATTCTTAAACCAGACTAATGCGTTAGATGGAGCTGAGATCAGGTGGTAGAGAAAACCGGTTAGATTTGGTTAATTGATTTAACCAGTTAAACATAATGAACCAATCAAACATTTTGTAGTGTACAAAATATCGGTTGGCTTATGGGAGAGAAGGAAGTTTCCAAAAGACTTTTCAGCTCTACAGGAAGCTACACGAATCATTGGCATGAAAATTTGGTCAGATTTTCATGTATGATTTCTCAGTTCAGAGCAATGCATAAAAATGGCAGATGGGCTGAATGAAAATGCAGATTCACTCTTTGATAGTAGGTGGCGCTATTGGAAAAGCAGACATTTTGGCTGTTGATGCTAATAATGTGTTTTAATGTCGGTAATAATTTAACCACCAGCAACGCATCTAATATTCTCTCTGACTTTCCATGTTCCCTTACGAAAATTAGCCATGGTTTTACTACGAATAAAACCAAAAATCATGGTCCTTGTAGCCATGGTAACCACAAATTAACCATGGTTTTGTTACTTCAAATAACAGTTTACAAAGAAGTATTAAGTTAATATTTTTTGTGGTTATAAAAACAGACCTAAGCCAACAACAGCCTTTAAAATGACTTAAAAGGCAGTATATAAAAACAATATATAAACATTCTTGAAACGTTTATATAACGTTTATAATTAAAAAAATTCCACAATCTTACATTTTTGCATAGAAATGCTAAGCTTGCGATTCGATTCGATTACCGATTCAATTCTATTCGATTCAATATTGATTATTTTGGATATACGTATATCAGGTACAGTACAAGCTAAATTTTCTCAAGGAAAAACAATCTCTCAACTAATGCTGAAAAATATACATGAGAGTCAGTCGGTACTACATTACTATACTATTGAAGGTAAAAATTTACTGATTTGTTAAAATTACACTTAATGAAGTTTTTAAAATAATAAAAATTACAATTACATAATAATATTTCTACTTCAATTCATTAAAAAAATATATATAAACATAATGGTGGCTGTCATAAAAACTTGGATTTATTCAAACATAAATTAAACATTGAAGAACAGTAACATTTATAATGAATATGTTATATGGTGTTATATGTTTTTCTGAGGTAAATGTGATGTTACGTGACATTGTTTACAAGCGTTATATTGACGTCTTTGTGCGGCTGAAACACTGATTGAGCGATTACATGAGAAAGATACGGATTGTAAAGTTGTACTCTTTCTTTTAACTTACCTTTGGATGTTTAGTCATGTTTATTTTGTGCTATAACTAGTAATAAAGTGGAGGAGATGATCAGTTCATGTGCACCTCGCGCTGCCGCTTTTATTGAACGCTACAGCGATCTGTCACTTCACATTAAACAGCACCAAAACTGCATTTATTGTTTAAATACTGCAATACAATGGATACAATTTGAAATCTGAGACTTTGTTTCATATTAAATGAAACAAATGCTTATTGCGATTTATTGGATGGGAAGTGCCCTTCTATGTTCCGTCCATTAACTGAAAACAGGCTAGAATAAATCGATTCTTGGGATTTAGGAATCGATATCGTTCCGTAAAAATGAGAATCGATTAATATCGAGATATCTATATTTTTTACCCAGCCCTAATGGTTTTATCGTAGCAAAACTGCTCAATTTTCTTTTGTGTGATTTCTGATTGCTTGAGACTATAAAATCAATCTGACAACTGTATTAATAAAATAATAGCCCTAGATAAATGTCTAGAGCTACAATTGTAATTTATTTATTTACTTTTATATTTTATTAAAGTTCTATTTTGACCCCTACAGTGGGTGCTTTTATTTTTGTCGTTTTTTTTTTACAGTTTTAGTACATTTTTATTTCAGTTTTAGTCATTTTAGTGTACCATTTTAGTATCAAGTTAAATTGAATGAAAATGAAAAATGTTGCCTTGGCAGTTAGCTAAAATAATGTTTTAATGGGTTTTTTTTTCATGTGTTTTTTTTTCCAGTTTAAGTTTTTTATGGTTTTAGTTTAGTCAACTATTGTAACCTTTTTCCTCACAATTCTGTGTTTATGTCTCACAATTCTTTGTGCTCCCCCCCCCCCCCCCCCCCAAGCGTTTTTTTTTTTTACAGTTTTAGTACATTTTTATTTCAGTTTTAGTCATTTTAGTGTACCATTTTAGTATCAAGTTAAATTGAATGAAAATGAAAAATGTTGCCTTTTTAAAAATTAAAAAGAATTAGCTGCTAGCTTAAATAAAAGTTTAATATTTTATTTCAGTTTAAGTTTATTTAAAATCCAAGGGAAAAAGTCTGAATTGTGAAATAAAAAGCAATTACCTTTTTATTTTTTTTTATTTTTATCCCGTGGAAAATGGAAAGTTCAAAAGAACAGCATTTATTTGAAAAATAAATCTTTTGTAAAAAAAATTAAAAAGAATTAGCTGCTAGCTTAAATAAAAGTTTAATATTTTATTTCAGTTTAAGTTTATTTAAAATCTTTCTTTTTTATTAACTCTTTCCCCGCCAAACACAGAATTTTCCGTGTTTTCACTGTTATAAGCTAGGGGGCGCTATTACGCATCTCCTGATTGAGTCTAGAAAGCGCCGATCAAAAACACAAACCAGGAAGACGCAGAAACAAGCGATCTCGTATGTAAGCATGCATATGAAAAATAATGCGATCATCAACTCTAACAGCATACAAATGAAAACTGCCTAATGTTAGCAAGTGAAATGTAAAAAAAAGCCAGTAAAAGTGTATGTATGGTTGAAAGTTTGTGTGAGGATAGGCTAGTTTGATAGTTTAAGCTGCTGAGCTGGATGCCTGGATCACGTTACCCCAACACTAACACTAACACTGAACCCCAGAGCCACTTTCTCCAAGCGTAAAAGCCACAACATCTGCCTTCAAGATGGAGATAAACTTATTACGAAGAGTGAAGGAGCCAGACATGACAGAAGAGCTCTCAAACAGGACGGGCGCTGCTCTTTCTTGTGTCTTTGCCAGCGTCAAATCACGATACTGTAGAAGGGGCTCTTGATTTGCTAGCATTTCTTTAAATACTCTGACAAATGCTTGCACTTATGCTGTCCAAACAATTACATTTGGTGACAGAAACTACACCCCTTCACTTTTAAACAAAGAGAATCTGTAAGTTAAATATATTTGGCTTTTTTCATGCATTGGTAGTTTTAAGGTTTGTGTTCACTCTACATTTCTGTATTCACTAATACGTTTTTATATACAGTATGTTCAGAGGTTTGGGGTTTGTAAAGGTTTTTAGCCTCGTCTGCTCACCGAGGCTGCATATATTTGATCAAAAATACAGTAATATTTTGACATCTTATTACGATAAGTGTTTTTTTTTTATGGAAGCTTGTTTTTGACACAGAATAAAAATTTAAAAAAATTAATGAATAAAACCGTTAATTGTAACTTTTTATCTCTCAATTCTGAGGAAAACGTTAGAACTGTGATATAGAAATTCAGAATTCTGACTTTCTTTTGGTAGTTCTCACAGTTCTGCCTTTTTCTGGCAATTGCGAGTTTATATCTCAACAATTCTTTGTTTATATCTTGCAGTTCAGTGTTTATATCGCTCAGTTATCTCTTAAGTCTGCGTTTATTTGTTCCAATTCTTTGTTTATATCTCGCAATTCTTCGTTTGTGTTTCGCAAGTCAGTGTTTATGTCTCGCAATTGTTTATATCCTGAAATTTTGCGTTTATATCTCGCAATTCAGCATTTATATCTCGCTATTGTTTATAACTCGCAATCGTGCATATTAATAATTCTGCATGGCAATTCAATTATATCTTATAATTTCAGCATTTATTTCTTGCAATTATTTGTTTAAGTCTTACGATCTCGATTATTTTTTTCTCACGGTTGAGAATGATAAAGTCAGGGTTGAAAGGAAAATTCTGAATTGTGAAATAAAAAGTAAATTTTTTTATTTTTTAGAAAGTTCAAAAGAAAAACATTTGTTTGAAATAGAAATCTTTTGTAACACTTTAAATGTCTTACTGACACTTTTAAACAATTGAATGCATCCTTGATAAATACAACAAAAAAAATACCCTTTTTTATGATTTAGGGTCAGATGAATGCAATGGCTTTTCTTATGGGTGCGCACACAAGCTAATAGAAGCCAAAAACAACAGCAGGCACATGAAGGAGATCTGAGCCAGCGCCTCTGAGATCTGCACTGACTGCATTAGTGTTTGACTGAACACCAGCACACGCTTACGCCATGCATTACGCAAACCCTGCATACGCTCTCATAGGCTCATGAGAACATACCCTTACCCAACCGTTTGATATAAAAACTTTTATCAGACATGGAGAGCAATGACTAAGCATTCAAGAAATGAAAAAGCGATCTTGAGTTTTGTAAGAGAAGGAGGGTGCCAGCTTAAAACTAGCATACGTGTCTTTAGACGTTTGTAAGTGCTCTAAATGTGTTTCTTTGGCCGGGTCATGAGCGCTGGGCCTCTGTGAACAAACCTGATTCATACACTCACTTTTCATTGTCTCTTTAGCTTCCTTTCATTTATTTCAGTGTTTGTAAGGCAGCAGTGCATTTGTAGTACGAGACCCTGGAGCACAAAAGCAGTCATAAGGGT